TGAGTAAAATTCAGTAATATATTCAAACATTTGTCACGAATTATTATTCGTTGAAAAATAAGATTACGTAAAATATTCATGCCCAGATCAGAATGATTCTTTAATAAAATAAACATTAATTTTATTTCAAGAAAACAAAAAAATACACATTTTCTTTTACTTCATCTTGACAATATTGTTTGAGTACAAGTAATGCATTATACGTAATTAAGGGTGCACTCATAAATAAACGAGTAAATAGACTAAGAAATAAAACATTATGATATAAATCAAAGAACTATTCATATTTTATTTACTCATCATATTTTCCTTGTAAACATTCAAGTAATCGACACAATATATGATCATATTTGGTAAAATCTTTATTTTTATTTGGTACTAAATAGCCACGAGCATAAACATATTCGTGATAAATCAATGTAAATGCAAGATGATATCGTTTATATACATCAGCAAAAATATAATCTTCATAAACTAATATTAAAATTTATTTATTCATTTAATTTGAAAACAAAAAGTCGAAGTATATAAATCTTACTATTATGAAAACTTTCTTCGAATAAATAAACTAATGAAGTCATCAATTTTTGTCGTATATGTTCAACACCAGTTCTTTCACAAATATCTAATTATAAATAATTAGATCGATATATTATGAACAGAAATATGAGAACAAACCTTCAGCATCAAGCATTCGATGAAATGCATTGAGTGACATACGTTGCATTTCATCATATTCAAGTGGTTTTATTACATTAGATAATTTAAATGATTTCATTTTTTTCTGTTGGATATTTGGAATCTTTATTAAATCTGTAGATGTTGATAAAATTGCATTAGTCGATGGTAAATGTATTTTATTATCAAAATCAGATGAGATTACAAATGATGAATTATCATTTCGAACATTTGTTACATTTAATGCAACTTTGTCTTCTCGAATATTATTATTATATATATGTGGTTTAACATGCTAAAAGAAAATCTTGAATATAATAGTTTTTGTGAAATACAATCTAAAAGGAAGATTCAAGTATATAGGGTAGACAGATCCAAAGTTTTCGGACTTGAATCGATTTATAGAATGCTTTTGGGACCCAAACTATATACGAGACCATACTTTGATATTTTCAATTAAACGAGATAGTGTTTTTCGATTTTCTACGTTCGGTGGCTAGTGCATTCTACATATTCCACAGACGACTGATCTAAGAGATGTGTACAATACAGCCTATCCTATCTCATGCTTTCGAACGCAGCCGGCGATTAACCCGACTGGCTTTATTGGCAATTCTCTACTCGACTGTGTGAATAACAGCTATATCAACATAAGATCATTAGCTGTTTGATGAATTAATTTCTCATGCTGAAGATGAGATTATATATTAAGATTACTTACATCACTTGATAAGATTTCTTCTTTTATTAAGTTATTATTTATATCATCCTATTTAATTATGAGATGAAAAATTTATATAAAACTAAAAATAATGTAGTTGACATACATTAATATTTTTCGATTTTTTAGTATTTTCATTTGTATTTGAAATTAACTTTCGTTTTGATTCTGTTATTACTTTAGGTAAATGTTTGAGAATCTATTATAAAGAATTTAATTAAAAAACAGAACGAAAAACAAAAAAAAAAAAAGAAAAATTATACTTCTGCCTGTGTAGTACCAAGATCAGTAAGTAAAGTTATAACTTGTGATTGTATATTATATGAAGTTGAATATTTGAGAAGACTAAGTAATTTTAATTTGATTATATTACGTATATTAATAACTTGAGAATCAATGAAAGTTGAAGATAAATTAACTTAAAATATGTTCAAATATTAAAAATAAAAATGATTAAAATATTCAATAAATAATTACCAAGTAATATTTCAAATATTTGTATCACTCGTATTATATAATCTAATCGTTGTCGAGCAATATTAGTTATGGCTTCTACAGCTGCAATTAAATTCACACTGAAATAATGAATTAATATAAAGAAAAAGAAAATGATGCATTATACCTAGTTATATGTTGAGAAACAGTAAATTCAAATAATTTTTCTATTATTTCTTTTTCCTCTAATTTAATTCGACATAAAATTTTATGATTATCTTGTACTAAATGTTTTGAAATATCTTCTTCATATCGTGATAATGTAAGCACTAACATTTCAATAAATTTAATAACTACTGTACAAAGTCTAGAATATATTAATAATTTAAAAAAAAAAAAATATTCACATAACTAACCGATCATCATCTGAATTAAGCATAGATATAATATGATTTTTGATATTAGTCATACATTGCCATATACTATGTATATTATTATCGATTGATTGAGATTTTGATAACCACTAAATAGAGAAATGATAGTTCATTTATAAATTTACATTTATACTTACAGTTAAAGTCGATTTATAAATTGAAATTATACTAAGAATAAGTTTTTTTTGTACAAATATATTTTCATCATTAAGTAACAAATGAAGACTATCGATTACTCTAAGAATAAGTTTTGGATCATATTGGCTAAAACAACAAAATTAAGTTTTTATAATGATAAAATAATATTTTTTTTTTTTTACTAACCAAACTTCTTCAATAAATGATATGATTGTTTTTTTGACTTCTGGACTTTTATCTGTTTGAAAATTTAATACTTCCTAGATAATAACAAAAAAAAAAAAAAGAAAATAAATCTATAAGAATTATCTTTTGAATTTTTAATATATACTTCAAGAAAATGATTCAATAAACTCGGATCTTTTCGTAGAATAAGTTCTTGTACATGTCGAAGATGTTGTACTCGGTTACTATCTTTTCCATAAATTAATGCTTGATTAAGTAAATCAACAATCTTTAAAAAAAAAGAAAAATAATTTAATAAACAATCATTTCGAATAGAAATAAGAACAAAAAGTTGGCAAGTGATTTTCGTCGAAGGTTGAAATGTATATGTAATCAATCGATAATAGTACAAAGTAGCACATTTCGACTTACTGAAATCAATGGATTTCCGGACAAAATTATCCCCTTATGCTAGATTAGGAATGCAACAATGATATTGATCACCAGTGCACTGCTCTATGCGGGAATGCATAATGAAGTTACAGTAATTTTTGATTTATTCCGACCTTCTCGGTGAGTAGGTCTACTTCAAAAAAAAACCTGAATTTTATAAAACATCACTAAAACGTGAAAGTCGAACTCAAGAATTCGATAAATCTCCTATAGATTCGGATTCTTGAACCTCGACAATGTTTAGCCTATTTTTATTGAATTAAGCTATTTTCTTACAAGGACCTCTTCGATCGAAACTAATCCAAAACCATCAAAGTCTTATCATGCGTTTACCATTAGTCTATGTGTACATGTCTAGACTAGTGCATAGCTGTATATAAGAATCAGAGATGTTCATCGCGGGGCGACCGCTGCCGCTGTGGCGGTGGCGGCGCGGTAGCGGTTGGTTTTTTCAAATAACCATCGCGGTGCGGCGCGGCAGCGGTCGTTTTTTTAACCAACTATCGCGGCAGCGGCGCGGTAGCGGTAGGATTTTTTAGAGAATAATGCAAAAATGCATGAATTCGAACAGAATTTCAATGTTTGCAAGTGCAAAACTATGAGATTCAACGAATCTTATCGATTGGTAACAAAAGCTCAAGTTCTGAACAGTCACAGATCGTAAAATTCACAACACTATTCTAACAATCATCGCGACATAGTTATTTTTGGTGGCGTCGCTGCAGATGTGCGGTAGGTTTTCTGTTTTTATCACCGCGGTGCGGTAGCGGCGCGTTAGCTTTTTTCTTTTATCGTCGCGGCGCGGCAGCGGTCAGTTTTCAATCGCGATGGACATCTCTGATAAGAATGGTGTACTATCAATGTTTTCTAGCCAATCATTATCTTTTAGATCAAATTCAAAAACAATTGAATTCATATAAACAGAAAGATAAAAACGTAAGCTACATTTTTGCATGTAGAACTTTTTAGAAAGTAAAATATCTTCACAGTAATATGAATGATTTTTGATGATCATTTTATCATCCAAGAAGTGTAGTAATTTTAGAAAATATTGTTTTTTCGTAATTTATGAAGTTTTCATCACCCTTTCAAACGCTACATACGAAAAATAATTAGTAGTTTTAAAAAAAATTTTTGTTACCAAAATAAAGTTTATAATCTTATTTGTTCATTCTTTTTTAAAAACTCATTATTATAACATTTCAAAAAGATAATCAATTTCTTTGTATAATTGTTAGAATAATATAAATTAAATGAAAATTGACTATTTGAAATACAGCTCAAGTTTTGACGAAAATCGATTGAAAAATTTTTCAAAATTGTACAAAAAAAAATCTAATTACCTTTTCTTGTATATTATCTGACATGATTTACTATAACATGCTTTTATCATAATCTAAAACAATAAAAATAAAAATTTTCTTTTTTTTTTCTTGTTTATGTTTCTATTGAAGCAAAATCTTCTTGATCATAACGTAAATCTTCTAAAATTTCATTAATATTCTCAATAAGTTTTATTAATTTTTGATTTATTTCTTCGAATTGTTCATTTTTCTTTTCAATCTTTGCCATAAATAAATCATTTGTTAATTGAAGTTTTTGTTGTTCATAATCTTGTAATAGTTCAATATGTTTTAAAATATTTTTATTATTTTCAAAACGTTTTTTTATTAATAATATTTCTTCTGATATTCTTGCAAATATAATTGTAATATCAGAAACAAAATTTTGAAATGCTGAAAAATTATGTGTATTTAAAAATATTAATTGTGCATCATAAAGACGTTGATAAGTAAGACAACGTTGAGATTGAAGACGAAATAATGTTGGTAAAAGATCATTTATCTTACATTCATTTATATTGACATCATCTTCGATTTTCTCCATCTAGAACAGAAATACAATCATATAGAAGAAATTGCTTTTTTTTTTTTTGTTATTAATATACAATGACAAAAGAAAAAGAAAATAAATGTTTATTTAATATATTTATCCATAAAACGTCGATGAAAATCACTACGTAAACTATCATTAACAAATTGTGCAACACGTTTTTCACCTGAAGAACCATCAGCTTTAGCACAATTTTTAAAAACAACATCATCATCCCAACGACGTTTAACACGAAATTCAGCATTTAAAGGTTGTGTTGAAGATTTTGATGCAGGATTTAATAATGGATTACCTTTGAGAATATTTTCTGTACGAATTTTTTCTTCTTCTAAACGTTTTTGTTGTTCAAGTCGTGCTGCTTCAACGGCACGTTCTTTTTTTATACGAGCTAATTCAGCCATAAGTTCAGCTGTATCATCTTCATCATCATCGTCTTCATCATCATCATCATCATTTTCATTGCTTGCAAAACGATTTGGTTGTGGATTCTTATTAAATTTTGATTGATGATGTGATGTTGTTTCTTCATCTGATGATGACTCATCAAGAGGATCACTAAAAAAAAAAACAATACGAAATAATTTATTTATTCTATTTTACATACTCAGCATCAATATTTGTTTCCGTATGAGTTATTGAAGGTTTAGATCGACTACTTGTTGTTCCACCAGATGTAATACGTTTTGTATCAGATGAAGATCGTTGTGATGGTTGTTTATCACGAACGTTTCGTTCACGTTCTTCAAGTTCTCGACGTATACCTTCACGATCTTTTGTTCGTAATTCTTCTTGTGTATGTTGACCTTTTTCACGATATTTTAATGTTTTATTTGCTGGCATATCCCGTGCCGAATACTGTTTCGACATGCCACTAAGATTTGATTCACCTCGAGAAGTACCACCAACTGAAAAAGAAACATTTTTTATTTCAACTAATGTTTTTTTTTTGCTTCGAATCAATGTAAACTACTCACCGGCTGGTTGAAATGCATTGGTCGCCATGGTTTGTAGAACAAAAATCTAAAACATAGATTGAAAATATTTATTTGTACAAAAAATCGATCTTATTATTCATCTATTATATAAACTTTCAATAAAAACATATATCTATTTTATGAAATAACATTTTAATATACTTTTTTCAAGTGTAAACTATTCACACAATGAAATCACATATATGTTGTGTATTGGAACTAAGTTACACCATTCTATACACACACATATTGTTGTTTGGAGAAATTACTATCCAATTAAAGATAGTTTATTAATATTTGTTCAAGACTAAATTTATATTAATTAAAAAAAGTAAAATCAAATAAATTTATTTTATATATAAAATAAAATTGTTTGCTTATTTTGAATAAATTCCAGAGGTCGCCAATGTAAGAATGAAAATGAATGGTTATGACAAGCTAAACACATATCATCATCATCATAGTTTTGAATGATTTCAGAAAGGAAAAACTATCTTTTATATTATTCTCAGTGTTATTTTCTTTATTTAACAAAAAAATATTATTTTTCACATAATGGCACAAGTAACAACAACAAATAATGAGCTTACAACTCCATCATTTTGTTTTCATAAGACAACATTTGGACAAAATATACGATTAGAAAATAATGCATCAAAAGCAGTTCGACATACATCTTTCGATCATGGTATTCTTGTTTTTTTTTTATTTTCACTTTTTAATATTTCTTTTGTTTTATGCTCTTTCTCCGTTTTTAGGCATTACATTTACAGATAAACCAATTAATATTAATGAACGTATACATTTAAAAATTGTTGAAGTTGACGAAACTCGTCAATGGTGTGGTTCATTAGCTATAGGTGAAAAGTAAAATTATAGGAAAAGAATAGGAAATTTTTATCATAAATATTTTAGGATTTACTCAAGTAGATCCAAATACAATTCGTCAAGAAGATTTACCTAAATCAGCATTACCAAATCTTAGCTCAACTAATAAATGTTCTTATGTCAAACGTCTTTATGAAACATTGACAAAACAACTTTGTATTATTTTTTATTATAATCCTGAGTATGTCATGAATTAATTTTGAATAAATTTCTTTTGTTTTTTATTACTATTTCATTCATTTAGTGGAGCTTACTTTATTCTTGATGGAAAAGAACAAGATATATGTAAAAATATTGATATTAAAAAACCTCTATGGGCAGTTATTGATATATATGGCAATGTGAAAGGTACTTAATGAAATTGTTAGATATTCAAGTTCGATTATTTATTTAATTTAATATCTCTATTTATTATTTTCATTAAAAGAAAAAGACATTGCTTAGTTATTCATTTTTACACGATGCAAAATATTATCATTACTAATATTTTCTTGAAAATGCTTGAAGGTTTCTTTTTCTCAGCTAATCATGATTTTTCTAACATTCATTGCCTCGAGAAAAGAAGTTAGAAAAAAATTTAATTATGAAGTTTCTAACTGAAAGTTGACTCGTTGAAAGATCTTGTAAACTTTTCCAGCGGTCTTCTTTAGACTTCGAATATTAAATATCAGTCATATGTATAAAAATCATGTAGTTCTATTACTCTTCATTACTTATCACAGACTGTAAATCAAGTAAAAGAATAATAAAACTTTAGACGGAAATTTTTTAGATATGAACTGTTAAAAGTTTATTAGATTTTATTCAAATCACTAAACATATGTGTTAACCGCGTTTCGTATATTTCCGATTGAATAATTTAAAAAGTATGAACGGTATTTTCCAGTTCATGGATCTTGAACGTGCACTAATAAATTAATCTCAATGAAGAATAAAATTATACTCATTTTGTTGTTTCTTGTTATGTTAAACTATTATTATTTTTTTTTTTAAATCAAAGATTATTTCTTCTTTTCTAGCTGTCACTTTTACAATTCCACCAAAAACTACTGACGATGGCAAATCTTTATTTGCTAAATATCCTCAAAAGCCAGATAAATTACCAATTCGTTATTTTACTCAATTAAAACCTGAAAGTTTTCAACCAGTTACATTTAGTAATGTTCATGGTCCCGAATTAGAATTATATTGTGAATATAAAGTTGCATTACGAAAACGTAAGTTTTTAAAATTCATAATTAAATAAATAAATTTTTCTTTATATATATATTTTTATCAGGTGTTCAAAAACTAGTCCGACCTTATTTATTCATTAACTTTCCTTTAGCACCTGGTGATGAACTTTATATACGTATTTTATCTATTGATCCAAATTATCGAACACCGTAAATAATGATTTTTTTGATTTCTATGAATTATTTTTTTTATTTTAAAAAGAGGAATATTTGGTTTTACTAATGTTCGTCCATCGAAATTTGCTGATAAACTAGAAACGTTACCAGCAACAGATCCAGCAGCATTAGTCGATCGTAAAGAATATTGGCTTTTACGTGAAGAGCCATTTGATGATACTCTTAGTGAATTAGATGAATATAGAATATTATTTGATAAAACAAGTGGTGAAATATTATTATGTCGTAATAATGATACAATATCTCAACCACGTATATTAACATTTGCTGATCTAAATGAAACATTTTATCCATTTTTATTTTTAAATGGTCGTATAACAGCTGTATCTGTATTTGCTTTAATCGCACCAAATGTTCGATTAACTGAAACAAATCATAATATAAATTCAACCAATAGAACAGAAAATAATGTTGAAGATGATGATTCTGATCGTTGCACGATTTGTTATGATGCTAAAGCAACTTGTGTACTTATACCATGTGGTCATATGATTTTTTGTACGAAATGTAAAGTTGATTATGAGATTAGATCAACAAAAACTTGTCCTAAATGTCGAGCAGCCTACGAACAAGCTATTGAAGTCGAAGTCGATTAAAAGAATGTGTTCGATTTTTTTCTTTATTTTTTTTTTTGTTAATTTATTATTTCAAAACAACTTTCTTTTTGCAAGTGTCTTTGCTCTTGATTGGAAAAGAAAACCAAAGTTTTCATCATTAGCAGAACATGTACAAATTTGTGCAAGCATTTTTTTTTTAATAAAGAGAAATAAAGAAATTGTATTTAAATATGACATCTGATGATCAAATTATTCATTGTGTAAGTATGTCTCTTATTTCCTAAGCCGTGTAAAATAAGTTTCAAGTATATGTTTCATATATATTGTACACATTTTTCATTTACAAACTGAAAAATTGAATCTGACATCATATTTATTTCGATCCAATCGGACTTCGAAATGATCGAGGACAAACAAACGATAAATCGTCAAATAGCCACTCGCAAAATTCGGCGACTATATCAGGCTTGTGTGTAGGATCTTTACTGGTTTCTCTTGTGGAAGTACTGAAAGCATGCAACGAAGAGATCTAATTAGGTTAATGTCGTTTAGATTTACTCAGAAAGAACCTCGAACCATTGTTTGCTGATTTATGCCATTTTTGCAATCGTTTGGTAAACTTTTACTGATAGAATCGCTTTAGCTCAGAATGTTTGGTGGAAAATTCCAACTTATGACTAACTTTCACTATACTTCTGATTTCGAGAAGCTGAAACCTATGACAACGACACGTAAAGCGAAAATAAAAGATTTATCTTTATTATGAACTTCTGAAGTCTATAAATATGTATCCTCATTAGGTACTTGATTTCTGCTCAACCCATATGAAATTGACAGTCATTTTCAAAATTGAACAGCATTTAAGCCCTTCGTTTTTGAAATTAATGAATAGATACACTTGTATGAACTTTCAAAGTTTGTAAAAATTTTGAAATGTAAAAGTTGAAGTGAATACCTGTTTGAGATTTACTACTTTGAGGTTCTGAATGTGACTGATCTCGAAGTCACTGTACTTCTTGCGCAAGTATGATTTCACATTTTTGTTTGTTTTAAAAAACAATCCACAACTTTATTAGAGCAAAGTAACGAAGGCTGAAGAAACCATCGAGCATTCCAGCTTAAAAAAGAAGTATTACATACATCTAACAGTCAATAAAGACAAGAACAAAGGAAAAAACCGTTTTCATAAAAAATTATGAAAATAAATGAGATGCGATAGACGATTTGTATGAAATATTTGTACAGTTGAATGTAATAGAAGAACCGGAATCTTCAATTGTGACAAACGGTTCAGTACCGTCAGAACGAGAAGAAGAGAGATAAGCAACTGACCGATATTTCAACTCAAGTCAAACCGAAACAAAATATAAATCATTTCTATAGAAAAGATCATATTAATTATGGCGAAAAACAGTCTCAATCGACTATTACTCCGGATGTCCAAAGTAAGAGTAACTATGTGGCTCTTGAGCAAAACAAATTTTAACTAATTATGCATTTTTTCATATTGAGAAAAAAACCATCACTCGACCGAAAGTTCGACGGCTTGTCATACTGAATCTGGCATCAATAGTTTTTATGAAACTAGTTAATGTTGACCATTCTGAAATTGATCAAGCTAAACCCAATTTAACAATTAAATCATTCAAGATAGTCGAGAATCACGCGATTTGACGAACGTTCTAGAACAATAATTCTTGCAACCAGTTTTGTGAATTTCTGGAAGACTCCCGCTGGAAAGATGCCGTTTCCGATTGAGAAATTTGCGAAAATGATAAGAGCTTAAAATCAGGAATCTGATGATCGAATTTAGTGACCGACTCTACCCGGTTACAATCGATTACAGTCAGAAATAGAAAAATCTAGCCATAGAATCTCATCATCGAATTCTGATTTGCAAATTCCCACCATTTTTTTTAGTTTTGCAACCGGAAACGGTTCGTATTTGTTGGTCTAGATTGTCCTGTATGACGCATTCAGCTATTTTTTCAAAGAAATAGTTTTAAATTAATTTACACCATGTAACCATATCCCAGAAGTTTGCTCATGATATTCTCGAGCATTTTGAATAAATTTAGAACTAGCATGGAACATATCGAAAGTTCCTTTTGATTTTTAACATAACAGGCATCCGGCTAACCATCTGTTATTTTTCGTTATCATATACAAGG